TGAGTTGCAGCTGTGTTTAGACCCCGTTCTGATGCGGTGGTAATACTGTGACTTACTGGTTCCGGTCTGAATACAGTATTTAAGCCAGGTTCTGGGTTTGACACTGAGTTCCACTGCAATGGTCTAGGTTTGCCCCTGGTTCTGACCTGCCTGTCAGGCTACCATAGCATGGCAGTAGCTAGCTTTCCAGAAGGGAAGATTGCACTTACTATAGATTACACTTACCTTTAAATAGCCTTTTCACAAAGGCAGCCAATGTTCTAGAAGTCTCTCGCACCATTATATTTCTAACATCTGTTGGCTTGATGAATGGGAAGTTGTTTTTAGGGTGAGGGACTAAAGAAGACTAAGTTTGGTCAGGAGTTTCAGGTACAAATTAAAATGCTCCTATTTAATGAATTCACCCAAAGCAGATTTATATGCATCCTTATAAAATGATCAAGCGTCAATCTAGAATGTGCATAAATTTTAGTCTTCTCTCTCCACAAAAGTGCATTCAATATTCATTAAGTTTGTGTGCATGGAGATGGAAGTAGCCTAACTGGCAAAAGCCGAGGAACCCCAGGTGTGATGGAATGGTATTTCTGGAAGCTTGCATGCTGTTCTGTCGTTGTGAACAGGCGTTATACGTGTGTCAAACAGATTGGAGCCTGCAATGCCTGCGTGTTTTGGTGTTGTGTTAGTGGTAGGGGTTTTCAGAAGGAATTCGATGGCTGTAGCTTAATTATACACAGTGACATGTATAAAACTCAGTCATTTTATCATCAGACACTGCTGGAAGAAAACTATTTTTTAGTGATAGCATCTACTTCTTTAAGGAACTTAATGTGCAAATGATGGAGCTTAATAATAAATACGATAGCCAGATGCGAAAGTACATTTCCTGCAAGGTACATTCACTGTTATAAAAACTTCTGAAGTATTTCTTTCCCTTGCTAGGTCAGATTTGGAAAGGCTCCTGTTTCACTCCGCTGGCTGCTGTGCCATGCTTGCAATCATGGAGCATCTTTGCTATTTCGTTACGTCGTTCGCTAGGCTGTCAGTGTTAGAACATCAGGTCCATCTGGATGGATAATACTTGTTTCAGCATTGTAATTCCTTTCTGAGGAACATTTCTACATGGATGAAATGCAAGAAACTACTGCATTTACCATTTAAGTGACCATGTGACGATGGTGGCAGATGAGTGTGTCCTTCTAAATATCTGCCTGGTTAAGATGCCGTAGTTTCATTTTCCCCATAACTTAATCAGGCTTGTTGCTTGTTGAATGGAAGAGAGGAAAATGTAACTCTTTGTAGGAAAAAGGATGAAATGATTTATTATGTGCTAAGCTTCTTGTTTCTCTTTCAGACCAGTTATATGTAGTCAGAAAACAGCTAATGATCAGTCTAGTCACTGTTCTGCCTGCTTTCTGGTAGTCACAGAATAGTTATAGAAGAGGCTCCCTATGCAGCTCAGTAGGTAAATAAAAAACTTCCACCCTTTCTGGCTGAATTTGGTTTACCAGCCAGTGTGTAGCTCCAGATAGTTTTTATGCAGTGTTGTTTTTTTCAACTCAGTTTTATTGCTATTTGATTTCCAACACACACACCTATATTGAGATGCAAATATAATTCTGGTTTTACACAATACTACCAAATAACACTTATCCATTAAAACTTTTGGATTTTTTAGGGTCGGAAAAGCTAAATTTTAAAATGCCGGTCTTGATTTCTGGACTGGATCTCTCCAGGGACAGGTGATGACTTAGTTTCTCTCACAAGTTTCCCTCATCACTGCATAAATAAACTATTTTGCTTTATTCTAAATTGAAAGACAAAACACAGTTATTGAAATGAAAAACTTTTTTTTTTAATTTCATTTTAATATTTTTCCTCTTTCTAGTAGTGGTGTTGGAAACCTCGGCCTTCGAAGATGCTCAACACGTTTTTCAACCACTAGTCTTCCTACATCTGATGTAGCTTTTGACTGTGCTGTTTATACATGACCTCTCTTGATAAGTCTGCTGCTTAACGCCTGAAATTTGAATGAGTTAAATTACATGGGAGGGAACGGGTTCAGTGCTGGAAAAAATGCTGAATTTTTTTAGGCACTCATTTGGGCTTTAATATAAGAGTTGAAGTTTGGTCTCTTTGAGACAGATAATGTTGTGTGGATGAGGCCATGAATCCGAGCACCAATGCACAGGGCTTAGGCCATGATAACTGTTTGTATCGAAATAATACGGAATTGAGGTAACTGTAGAATGTTTGGTCTATCAAATCACTGTTTTGAATATTCCAGAACTTGCTTTGTGATTTTTAAACCACTTGTACAGAAAAGTATTTGTTGAGAACTTGCACTGCTGTCCAGGAGGATGTTCAGTTAATCTCTCTCTCCAAGGAGAGATTCTTTTCAGGTACTTTTAACTCTAAATATTATTTAACACTTACTGTGTTCTCAATCCTGTTGCAAAATATTTTATGTATGAAGGATGATGCATGAATTCCATGCACTTTTAATTTGCAGAAAGTCTTGTGGACCTCTCTAGCTCTAAATCTATGAAGTGATTTTTTTCTTTTCTTGTAAAGAAAGATTAATGCTCTTGAAATGTGACACATTAAAACATCTTTGCTCATAAAAGATCTAAAACTAAATGCTTATTAATTGTGACTTCTTTCCCTGAAAGTGTCGTTCCTGAGATTATGATATTATATTTATAGTGTAATAAACACTGAACTTGCGACGGTGATCTTTTGATATGGATAGGGTTGCTGAAGAGAAGGGAATATCTTACATACTCTGAACTTCCAAGAAATTTTTGGCAATGACACTGGTTTTCTTATATAGCAATCATAGTATCTGCAACTATGTGCAGCTAAAGGAAGCCTGCAGAGGACTTAAGCCTGCCTCCTTCATGTGCAAATGAACTTGTAAGTAAAACTTACGAAGTAAATTCCAATTTGATTTTTCTATGATTTATTTTAAGACAGAAACAGTAGTAGATAAACTTGATCAGAAGTGGTCTCCATATGCGATGCTTGAAAACAGTGTAGAGAATTCTGATGGTTCAACAATGCAGTAACTGTTGCTTCATTGCTTCCAAACAACGGTGTCTCTGCAGAACAGGCATGGCACGCTGCAAAGCAAGCAGCCTATCTGTGCACCTGAAAATTCACATGATTAAAATTTTAAGACTGGAGAAGAGTGGGAAGGTGTACAAATCAGATACTAAACTCCTGAAATTTTACTGTGTGTTATTCAGCTTGAAGTAGACAGATGTTGTGTAATAATAGGAGGAGGAACAAGGATGCAGGTCCCAAGTCTCTTAACTGTAACAGCATGCCAGGAGAGCCGATTCTGTGAATATGTTTTTGGCTTCAGCATCTTTCAGTGTAAAGAACTGGCAAATTCTGTCTGCTTGTCTAGGATTGTGGCACCTTCAACTTAAAATGGAGTCTGTAGTTGTGGATGGGTGAAGACAGCAAGGTGAAATGAGCCAAGAAATAGTTCTTATTTTAATATTTGGCGAAGTATTACATACGCTAATGTTTTGGATAGCCATGCTCAAAAGTAATCGTGTAAGTGTGAGAGAACCGGCCTTTGCTTTGCACTTCGGTGTAAAACTGGCTGGCTGCATCAGAGCTGCTTTCTAATGATTTATTTTTATCAATCATCATCCTTAATTCCCGAGCACAGTAATGCATGCCTAAATAAATATCAGCTTTTTTGGTTGGGGGACATGTCTTCTTTTTTAAGTATACTGTTTGGTGTTTATCCAATCTAAAGATTGGTGGCCTGGTTCTGGCAGTGTTACAAGACTATATGTGCTCATTTATAATATTTTAGGTCAGGTTTTAAAAACACTGACAAAATCATCTTACGTAGCCTGGTTCTAGACATCAGCTCTGACCTATAATCGCGCTTATTAGTTTAATTACAGAATGTAGCAGTTCACAGACGTGGAGGATGTTTTATCCTGGCTCTATGTATATCATCTCTGAATCGAATGGGGGAAATGAAAACATTGGGTTATCTGTGCATGTAAGGTCACTGGCCTGAGGGCAAAATGAGAGCCTTCATTGTGAAGGGGCTTTATCTGCTTTTTTCACTCGGTTAATAATAATAATTTTCTATTTGGCCTCTATTGAAATGGTAAATACCTGGTAATTTAGACTTAACTTTAAAAATTACCTTACTGTGGCCCCTAAATTATCCTGAAATACCTTTCTGTAATGCCTTAAGGACACTTTTGTTCTCATCAGCTATCTCCCACACACAGAGAATCTGCTACCTGCTCGCTTTTGTAGAAGACTTATGCAAAAGTTTATGGATGAGTAGTGAAAGATCTATGGATTGTGGAGTATAAAAAACCTTTGACAAGCACCTACTTCTGAACTGGGGACAGCGAACTAGCTGTGTTCGAGTCTGTTCATATCAACAGGTACTCTCTTTGCAGCCAGTTTTTGTACAGTGTTGTGCTGTCCTGTGTAGGGCAATAGCTTGCTGTAAATATGGTACTTTCTTTTACTGATAAGCAGGTTAAAGTTTCCTCTAGTCCCAGAGGTAAATTCCCAGCTTTCCTACTGGATTTCCATTAAATTACATTAAATACTAGGTTTTAAGGTCAAGTGTAATTTTAAAGCCTTAAGGCTTCATATTAGGTAAGAGAGGTGAAGTGAGGTTTTTGTATATAACAGTATTTAGTAAATTTTAAAGGATTTTTGGCAGGCTAATGAGAGGATTTCCCAAATTGCTCTGGGCAGTATTTTATTACTTAACTACACATTCTAAATGGTTAGTAAACCAGAACAGGGAGTTGGGAAGCATTAGTGAATATTTCACATCTTTCAACACAGAAAATATTTGTC